ACCCTCCAACATAGTATGGAGGATATATCATTCTATGACGATTTAGCCATGTCCGTCTGTCTGCTGTAATCGCTCTAGCCTCTAAACTAATTGAGATAGATCGCCAAAATTTTGCATAGAGTCGTCTTTTGTTTGCAGGCAGGTCATTATCGAAGATGGGCTATATCGGACCCCGCAATTTTCTGTATTTTGGGGTTATTGAGCGCGGTTTTAACAGAATTAACAGAAATTCGGTACATTGGGTTCTTATTGGATACCAAATTTCCCCACTAAAAATTATAAATATAGGTCCACTTTTTCTGGTAGCCCCCATATAAGGGAATTTTTTACTTTGGAGGTGTCTCCCTTACAAATGGTCAACATTTTCAATATTTTTAAATTCAATATCAGGCGAATGGAATGTCCAAATTTTACACAGTCCGCGAAAAGCACCACATAAGCAGCATCTGTGTCTCATCATTAAGTGTCAGGCTGCATGAACAAAATCTCTATGGTGAATTTGTACCTACGGACGTGGATGTATCCTGAACGAATTCGGTATGACATATCACCAGTCCTTAGATTTGACTATGATAGATGTCGTTAATCCCCAGTAGAGACGACTGGAACCTTAGCAACCCTCCTCTGGACGGTCTGGCTTTTTATACAGACGGATCCAAGATGGAAGAAGGTAAAGGAGTTACTTTGAAAGGCTAGATCTTGAACTTACCTACAAGCTGGATAGCAACTGTAGTGTTTTCCAAGCTGAAATCTTCGCTATTTGGAAGGCAGTGGAATTAATAAAAAAGTCTGGATACAGATATCGTTGAACCGAAGACTATCTTTGTGGATAGTCAGGCGGCTTTCCTAGGTCGTCCTTGAGTGTAGAGCAGTTTTGGAAACACGGCTATCGGCTGTGTTGGGTACGTGGACACCGTGACATCACGGGTAATGAAAAAAGCAGACGAATTAGCTAGACAAGGATCTCAATCTACAGATCTAGCAGTCGATTGCTCAATCATCTTTTTCGGAACTTTGAGGCGTTCTTCGACGGACGAGCCAAACGAACCTAGAGGTGCAATGCATCATGACCTATCTGCCCGACTCTGTCAACCAAGAAAACAAACTGGTCATTGCAATAGCAGGGCCTTCACCAATGAATGGGGTATCTGATTACTGCAGACTCTGTGCTGGCGAGGAGGAGACGGAGACAATTGAGCATCTCCTGTGTCGGTGTTCATTTCTGGCTTACAGACGGCACAGACTAGCGGTTGCTCACTATTTCTGTTCAATTTCTTTAGCCATCGAAACCATTCCCACCTTCCTGCTTATAATTATAGCTTCTTATTCTTTCTTTCCACATAATTTTGAGTTCCTGCATCTAGTTCAAATCCGTATAGACTAATTGGTTAACAAGTATCAGTCGGTGTTGCCGACAGATATATATCCTCATCCTATGGATTTATAAATATAGAAAATGTTGACCCTCTGTTGGGGATGTAAGAAGGAGTGGACCATCTTCCTACATGATATAGGCTTGATAAAGATAATAGGTTGTACAAAGTTTGGTTCAAATCGGACATTCCAATCGCCTGATATTGGATTTATAAATATTGAAAATTTCGACCACTTGTGTCGGAGGTACCAAAAGTAGACCAATGGATCCCATCTTCGAACTTGATCTAGGCTTGGTAAAGATAATAGGTTGTACAAAGTTTGGTTCATATCGGACATTCCATTACCCTGATATTGGATTTATAAATATAGAAAATTTTGACCATCTGTGGGGGATGTACGAAGGAGTGGACCAATGGGTCCCATCTTTCTACTTGATCTAGGCTTGATAAAGATAATAGGTTGTACAAAGTTTCGTTAAAATTGTATAGTCCATTTGCATGTTATTATAAAGTTAATGTTTAGCACAATTTTGACCATTTTGTGGGGGAGGTACCAGAAGGAGTGGACCGATATTCCCCATCTTCGAACTTAAACTATGTTTGGAAGAAATATTAAGATGTGCACCAGCTAGCCAGACAGACGGACGGACATGTCTAAATCGACTCCAAATTTTCTGAAACGGATTTGCTACAAATAAACATAGGGTCTAAAACCAATATTTCGATGAGGCAAATTTTCACAGTATCAAAGTGTATATATCCTCATTGGCCACAAGGCTGAGAGTTTGGGACGCGGGCTGTATAAATACCCCTATTACTTCTTCTTAATGTTTGATACATCATTACGGCAATCGACCTTTTCACAAAATTATTTCAAGATGTATTATAGCCTAGACAGACGACAGCCTTAATTTGTATTAACAGCCTTAATTCAAATTAATTTGTACATATCCTCAGTTTTATGTGTTGTTAATGCACAAAATCAAACTGAATTTATACTGAATTAAGCAATTTCAGTATGGCAATGCTGTAGAAAATAAATTGATTGTTGTCAAATTTGTTTACGTTTACGAAAAAAAAATTAAAAATAAAGGCAAAATTCAACATTTCTTCAAATTTGGAGCTGTTTTATCTTCATTATAGCTGTTAGTTTTTTTTCCGGCCATGTATCAATTTCAAAAAGATGTAATCCTAAAAAATATTGTAAAGAAATGTCAATATTTTCTTCCTACACACAGAAAAACAATAGTTTTGAATCAAAAAACTGGTTCATAAATGCAGAAACTGTCGTCTGTCAGGGGTAAATTTTAATTCAAATTAAGAACTTTTTAATGCAAATTAAGGCTGTCGTCTGTCTATGGTATTAAGCTGTTCCTTTTGTTTTATGTGTTATTCCTTCGGCCTGGCGCGAAAATTGTTCATTTTTTGCAGCGTACTTTCTTCTAAAGGCATAACATAGTCGACCTCGTACGACGTTGATCATTTCCTTACTTTCGTTGTGCTTCAACTAGGCTGATGCTTTACTAATTTTCTTTCGGTTTTGAAAATAAGAAATTTTAGTTTTTTATTTGCTCTACAAATAATTGATTTTCGTTTAGAAATCAAATCGGGAATCGACAATATTTTATATAGCCTTTCGACAAAATTCTGTTCGGCTTATTATCAATTTTGAAAATCATTGATTATCAACACATTACTAAGTGCGCGGACACGTTGCGAATTTAACTTTCATGATAACTAATGTTTATTAGGTGCGATTATTTATGGTCTCCCTTTATAATGTTGTTATTATTTTTTTTTTTTTTGCTATTTTTAAATTTTATTTACTATTCTATTCAATATGCATTCAATTCCATTTGAAGCACGTGGTATTTGAACAAATTAATCCCCTGTTTCTGAGGGTCTTAGAGGAACAATATATATTTTTTTGTAATCTTTATAGCTCCAATATATGATCCGAATTAATATGTAGATATCAAAGAATGTGTACAATAACCGATTACAATTGGTTATAACAAAAATAACAAATTATTTTTATTATAGAAAACAGCTGGCCAAAAACCTGTTCTTGTCTGTTATTATTCGCATTCGTGGTTTTGGCGTGAGAGTTCTCCCAAAGCCGTTCTCTATTGTTTTGGTTGTCGTGGGGAATTTAGAAATACAAATAACAAATTGTTTATATTAAAATAAATAAATAAAAAATATTTGCTGAAACAGCCAACTTTGTGGCAACATTGATCCCCTCCTTTATTTGCAAACAACAGTTCAGTTCGATCAACTGATCGAACTCTCTTTCTCTCTTTCATTCGACATTTTCAATTTTTTCTATGTTCAAGAAGAAATCTAGGAAATAGAAAGTCAAACCAAAAACAGTTTTTTTGTTGCTTTTTATAGCCCAGATTACAAAAAAAGAAAAACACATTCTCTCTTTAGGCCAAGAAAAAAATTGCGCCAACCATCACATCAACATGGCAAGCAAAATAATTAACAACCGAAACAACAAACCAACAAAATACGATTGCTGATGATGATGATTTCATCAAGTTTGTGTTTTTATCTGTCGCGTCCCGCCACAACAAGTACATGGTAAATTATTTTCCATACCGCCGGGCACTTATGTGCTTCAGAGCCACAGCTCGCAAACACCATGAGAAGAGAATGAAATGTTTTTTTTTTTCAATAGATTCGTGCGCAACAGAGTTCAGCTGAATGCCAGTAGTTGTCGTAGTTTGTTGTTGATTTGATAGAAATTAGACGTATCGAAAGTGGTGGTATTCCGGCTTTTGAAACTATAGAAAAAACACACAATATTTTTAAAGCGTAAAATTTATTAGATAGCTGTTATATATTTAATATGGGTATTGTTTTGTCCCGTTGCCGCCCTCAATCTAAAGAAAACATTGATACAAGTAATTATTAAAAATATAGAAAAATATATATCGAATTTATTTAAAACAACAATTTATTAAATTCAAATAATTTTGTTTTGTTGTGGTGTGTCACTTCTCTCTTTTTTTTTGTAAATTAGTCATTCAAATATGAATTCTAATGATTTCATTTCGTGATGTGTTTGTTTTTTTTTAATATTCCGAGAACTTTCAAACAGGTTGTTGCTAAATCAGAAAATTCACAGATCAAAGAATGTTTATAAGCAACACAACTTGTGATAGTATATAAATATGTGTGTGTGTGCCCAAAGAGTTTGAAACACCATAAAATATTGGACCTAGACGAGTCACCTTTTTGTATACTGATCGACTAGCTGCATTAATCTATCTGTAATCCTTGTAATAAAAGAATATAACGTACCGACCCGAAATATGTCCAAAAACGATTCACGATGTGTAGGGTCCTTCAAAAAATATTCTTTAAATTCCCAAGATCATAGCTGTGGCGGCTTCTAGAAAAGTTATTCTTCAAAATTTTATTCTTCAGGGCTTGGTGGATCTTAAAAAAAATATCTTGAATTATCCTTAAAAATTTTCCCCGTTATAGCTGTTCTAGTCTTTAAATACATATTCTTAAAAATCCGTAAATCTTCAACCATCCATACATTTTGTCATCCGACCAAAAAAATCAATTTGACAATTTAGCTAATCGGTCCAATTTTGTTTTTTCTTTTCCTTTTCAGATGAATATGATTACGATTTGGTCGTAATTGGTGGTGGTTCCGGTGGTTTGGCTTGCGCCAAGGAAGCTGTTGCTAATGGCGCCAAGGTTGCCTGTTTGGATTATGTTAAGCCCACACCATTGGGTACCAAATGGGGTATCGGTGGTACTTGTGTGAATGTTGGTTGCATTCCCAAGAAATTGATGCATCAGGCCTCCTTGTTGGGTGAATCGATTCATGTAAGCTCCACAAAAGTTTATTAAACTATTATTCAAATATTAAATAATATTTTTTTTTTTTTGCCAAATTTTAGGAAGCCACTGCCTATGGCTGGGAAATTCCCAACAAAGAAGCTATCAAACCAAAATGGGAAAATTTGGTACAGGCTGTACAAAATCACATTAAATCGGTGAATTGGGTTACCCGTGTGGATTTGCGTGACAAGTATGTTGTGTAGTGATGTTTTTTTTATATTTTAAGAAAGGGAATTCAATTTTGTTTTGAATCTTTTATTATTACAGGAAAGTTGAATACATCAATGGTGCTGGTTCATTCAAGGATCCCCATACCGTTGTTGCCAAATTGAAGAACAATTCGGAACGCACTTTGACCGCTCGCAATGTTGTCATTGCTGTTGGTGGCCGTCCACGTTATCCCGATATTCCCGGTGCCGTTGAATATGGCATCACCAGTGATGATCTCTTCAGTTTGGATAAAGAACCCGGCAAGACTTTGGTTGTTGGTGCTGGATGTAAGTGAATGAAAACGAAGAAATTATCATTTTTACTACCACTTTCAGAAGAATTTGTGATGGCCTTCTAGAGGTTGAAATACTTCTAAAGGTCTTTAAATGGAAGATCTTCAACAGATCTTTTATAGATAGAAGTCAACTTTTTATAACTAGAATACCTTCCACAGATTTCCTGTAGATCGAAATTTTTTTTTCTAAAAAAAAGAAAACAAAAAATCGACGTTCAATAGATGAAATGCCTCCATCAAGTCTTCTTTGGGTATACGACCTTTTTATATATAGAAGACTATCGACAGATCTTCTATGGATAAAATACCTTTTATAGAAAAACTTTCAAAGGTCTATTTTCTATATAAAATACATTCCACAAATTTTTTATAGAAGTCCTACTAGATAAACTTCCAAAGGTATATTTTCCTTATATAAAATACTTTCCACAAACTTTCGATAGAAGTCCTTCCACTAGTCTTTTAAAAACAATAAATATTTGTTATGGATAAGCAGCAGCTTTCGTATGGTTAAAAGTCTTTTTGGAGGTCTTCTTTAGATATGACTATAAGAGGAAGTCCTTCCACAGGTCTTTTATGAACATATGGGCTTCTATAAATACAAGATAATCCAGAGAAGAACTTTTAAAAGTCTTCAAAGATATTGAAAAAACTTCGACAGATCTTCTAGAGAACTTCCAAAAATCTTCTATAGATATAAAACACAGATTTCCTTTTTTAAAAATAAGTTTTATGGTTAGAAGACTTTCTGTAGCTTTTTGTATGGATAAAAGAAAATTCCTTCTACAAGTTTTCTATGAATAGAAGACTTCCTCCGGATTTTCTATAAATAAATGACTTTCTGCATGTCTTCTATAAATTGACGACCTTCCACAGGTCTTCTACAGAACATACAAATTTCTGCAAAGGATAGACACTTCACAGGTCTTAGAGAAAACATCTTTCAAAGCGCTTCTAAAAATTTTCCACAGACCACCTTTCTTTTTCCTCATGGTCGGAAAACCTTCTGTAGCTTTCATATGGATAAATGTCCTCCTATAAATAGAAGACCTTCTAAAGGCACCCTCCGGTGGTCTTTAATGTATAAAGGATTTTACAAATATCTCATATTTTCTACACGGACTCAGAAATTAAATGCAAAAAAAAAAAAATAATATTTTTTAAAATATTTTCCTCCCCCAGACATTGGTCTCGAATGTGCCGGTTTCCTTAAGGGTTTGGGCTATGATGCCACCGTCATGGTACGTTCCATTGTTTTGCGTGGTTTCGATCAACAAATGGCCAATATGGTTGCTGATTCCATGGTTGAACGTGGCATTCCCTTCTTGCACAAAACCATTCCCAAGTCTGTGGAAAAGACCGAAGATGGTCGCCTCTTGGTGAAATACGTTAACACTGAAACCCAAGAGGAGGGCAGTGATGTCTACGATACCGTTTTGTGGGCCATCGGCCGTAAAGGCTTGGTTGATGATTTGAATTTGGGTGCTGCCGGCATCGAAGTTAAGGGTGACAAGATCGCTGTCAACGAAGCTGAACAAACCAATGTACCACACATTTATGCCGTGGGTGATATTATTCATGGTCGCCCCGAATTGACCCCCGTTGCCATACATGCTGGTCGTTTATTGGCACGTCGTCTCTTTGCTGGCTCCAAGCAAATCATGGACTATTCGGATGTGGCAACCACAGTATTCTCTCCCTTGGAATATGGTTGTGTCGGCATGGCTGAAGAAGATGCCATCAAGAAATACGGTGAAGATAATGTTGAGGTGTTCCATGGCTTCTACAAGCCCACTGAATTCTTTATCCCACAAAAGTCGGTA